CCCCCCCCCCCCCCGGGTATTAGTTATTCCACTCAATTTTGTGTCATCGGCAGATTTGGTAAGCATTTCCTATATGCCCCCATCCAAGTCATTAATAAAAAGGCTGAAGAGCGTTTTTTAAATGACGGTGGGGATGGAACTGAACATTTTTTAAAATTTTTAAATGAGTAATCAGGGATATAATTGTACCCTAATTGTATCCTAATAACTAGAAGAAACACACTACCCACACACAGACACAGAGCACTCCCCCAAAGATCACCCACCTTGTGTGAACACAACCCTCCAAAAAGAACTAATAGCTTAACTAAAATGTGACCTGCCTGAACAAAGCCCTTCCCAGTCTCCCACTAATGAAAATGAAATAATTTCTAAAGAATGAGTTTATTTTAAATTGAATGTGCTTTCTACATAGACTGGAGAAGCACTCAGAAGACACTCAAACACTCAGGAAATAAATTTTGGGAAAAGGGGTTCCACACTCACACACAAAATCCCCTCCCTGAGATCACCTACCCTGCCTTAACACAAACCTCCAAAAATAACTAATTTTAAACTAGTCATCAGTCTAAACAAAGCCCTACTAACCAAGTCTCCCACTAAACAAAATTAGAATGAATTTATTTTAAGCATATAGACTGGAGAAGCACATGCACACTCAGAGAAGAACCACCAGACAGACACTCAAGCACTCAGAAAATAAATTTTGGGAAATTCCACAGTAGCACAAAAAGATTCCCCCACCCACCCTGCCGGAACACAAGGCCTCCAAAAAGAAGTATCCTAACTGAAATGCCCACACAGCTAAATAAATCCCTCCCCAGATTCCAGGCAAAGTTCAAATAATATTAATGAATGAATTAAGAAATAAATTAAATGAGGAAAATAAGTTTTCGCTTCGCTACCACAAAAGCGAAAGCACAGCTAGCACCCTCAAGAGACTCAGAGCAGAAGGGGAAAGGGCTGCAGGGAAAGGCTTATAAAGCCTCTGAAAATGATAGGGTGCCCCCCCAGCCCTTTCAGCAGCGCTGTTGGCTGTAAACAAGTTATCTCAAGAGGAAGTGCTATTTGAAATGAACCCAGACAGGAAGCCTTCTCTTGGCCATCTGATGCGAAGAGAAGACTCCCTGGAAAAGATCCTGATGTTGGTAAAGTGTGAAAGGAAGAGGAGAAGGGGACGACAGAGGATGAGACCGATGGACAATGTAATTGAAGCTGCCAACATGAATTTGACCCAACTCCGGGAGGCAGTGGAAGACAGGAGGGCCTGACGTGCTCTTTGCTATTTGAAATGGACCTAGACAGGAAGCCTTCTCTTGGCCATCTCATGAGAAGAGAAGACTCCCTGGAAAAGATCCTGATGTTGGTAAAGTGTGAAAGGAAGAGGAGAAGGGGACGACAGAGGATGAGACCGATGGACAATGTAATTGAAGCTGCCAACATGAATTTGACCCAACTCCGGGAGGCAGTGGAAGACAGGAGGGCCTGACGTGCTCTGGTCCATGGGGTCAGGAAGAGTCAGACACGACTTAACGACTAAACAACAACAACAGACAGGAATCCTACTCCTGTTCCTCTGAAGATGCCGTCCACAGAGACTGGCGAAACGTCAGGAAGAACAACCTTTGGAACATGGCCAAAGAGCCCGAAAAACCCACAACAACCATCAGAAAGCAATCTTCTTTCCGGCGGGAAGTCTCTGTTACCCTGAAAAACCTATGGCCGTGCTTCGCAAGAAAAATGATTTCCTTTTTTTGTTCCTGCCTCATGTTTGCTGATTTTATAATGTTTTTCTATGATGTTTAAAAAGTTAACGTTTTTTAAATGAAATTTTTGAAATCATCTGCACAATATGTATGGCTTTAAAGAGCACTTAATAAACCCTTTGTAAACCAAATTTGACTTTGTTCTGACTTTTTTTGCCTATAGGAACGCATTAATTAGATTTCAATGCATTCCTATGGGAAAACCCGTTTAGCAAGACAACATTAACCCCCGGAATGAATTAAATTTTGTTTATTTTATTTTATTTATTTTTGGACTTAACAACAACCACCAAGAAGCTATCTTCTTTTGGGCGGGAAGTCTCTGTTACCCGGAAAAACCTGACCTCTGTTACTCAAAAAGACCGACCTAATACAGTGGTGCCTCTCAAGTTTTTAAAATCATCTGTACAATATGTATGGCTTTAAAGAGCACTTAATAAACCCTTTGTAAACCAAATTTGACTTTGTTCTGACTTTTTTTGCCTATAGGAACGCATTAATTAGATTTCAATGCATTCCTATGGGAAAACCCCTTTCGCAAGACAACATTAACGGCGGAACGAATTAAATTCGTCTTGCCAGGCACCACTGTACTAGTTCCTAAGAAGAACAGCCATAGCAATCAGGGGTTACTGAAAGCTGAGGTGGAAAAAGAACAGGAAATCCTTTTCCCATGCCGTCATTGCATAGCAGGACGCCAACAAAAAATGAGCAGAGGGCCCTTTCCCACAAAAGGGATCTGCATTCCTTCCCTTCGTCCTGCAGCTTTGGCGAAGTTCAACTGCAGACGAATCACCGAACTGAAGGAGCAGAGATATTAGTTGCTCCGTATTGTCAAACAGGACAAGACAGGAGGGCCTGGCGTGCTCTGGTCCATGGGGTCACGAAGAGTCAGACACGACTAAACAACAACTTGTCAGGGCTCTCTCGCCGGGTCCCTCTCCCAAATACCCACCCTTTTCCCACCCCTCCAAGCAATCCTTTCTCCATATTGTCAGGGCTCTCTCGCCGCGTCCCTCTCCCAAATGCCCACCCTTTCCACCCCTCCAAGCAATCCTTTCTCCATAGGCTCGTCTCTGTCAGAGTATCACAGACCGGTTTCTTTGGGGCTCGCCTGCCCCCACCCCCACCGCGAAGCCCGCGCTTTCAAGCTTCAAAGGGGGGGGCTACTCAAAGCCGCCACAGTCGCTGCCAAAAAGGCGACTCGAAAGGAATCATTGGGGTAGCTGCGGTCTGGGTGCCTTCAAATCCCTCAAAATGTGGACGTGACGCCCTTTCCTTTGTATTTCTCTCCCCCCCCCTTAAACTACATAGACCAAGCGAGTTTAAAAAAAAAAACCCACACAACTCGAGTATAATAGGAGCCGCTTTACCACACTTTAAAAAACAGACTCTTTCTCGCAGAAGGCGACAAAACTTCCCGCCTTTTCGACCTTCGTTTCCATTGCGGGGACTCGTCCTCTCTCTACCGAGCTTTCAGGGAGCCTCCCCTGAGTCAACAAACTCACAACCCGCGCCTGTGTCGACGACCAGGTCTAACCCTCCACAGTTTCCCTGGGAAAAAACACAAACGCATGAACCCCGTAACGCATGAACGCGGACCCTACACGCAAGTCACGGATATTCACAGATCAGGCGAAAAAGAGACAACTTGTTACTCACTCTGACTTTCTGCTCTCCGACTTTTCTGTGGCGAGGAAATCACCCCGCCTCGCTGAAATGAGTCCAGCTTCCTCAGTTGCACTTTGACAGCTCAGGAAGGCAGAGCCAAGCTGGTTCCACCCCATGTTTGGGGTTTGACGTTTACATTTGCTCTTCGACTTCAAGAGTTCACCGGTTGGGGGGGGGGGGGAGAGAAAGTCCAAATCCGCCCACCCCGCAAAATAGAGAAGCAGCAGTTTCCACAACAAATCCGAATTCTATAAAAGTAAACCCATGTTTTTTTTATGCAGTGTAAACTCATCCTAAGGGTTTAAAAAAAACACGTTATGGTCAGTATCCTATTGCTATTCCTGCAAAAAGAGGGGTCCTATGGCTCCAGCTGCGTTACATAACTGGTGATTTACTGTTCTGTTATTTTTAGAAGAGGTAGTTCTGTTAGTGCCTGCTTAGCATGCCAGGCAAATACGAAACAAAAATAAAGAAGTCAGAAATGAAGAAGTGGACTGGTCCATGAACGCTCACATTAAAATACAGCATTTACTCTTTTAGGTGCCACAACGTTCTTGCCTGTTTTGTTTTTGCCTGAAATATTCAGTAGTTGACTCAATGGGTTTACTCTGGTTGGTTCTAGCAACAGGGTACTAGTTACTGGACTTTGCTCCCCAAAAGCTTATTCAGTACCAAGTGGTTAGTCCTCAAGGTGCCTCATATATGGTTCCATTTCTGTTAGTATGCCTGCCCTTGGATCTGTTATCTAGGAGGAGACGGGTGGATGTTAGACATTCACTGACAGGTGAGCAAGACAGAAAGTTCAGACCTGGAACCTTTGTTCTGTAAAGCACTCAGTCTGACAGATAAGGGAGCAATAAAGCAAGCAAGCAAGACTCAGCGCTCACAGTCATGATCCAGAGGTGATATTTTCTTGCTAGAGAACATGGAAGAACCTCAGACTAGCAAGACTTTTTTGTTTGTTTGTTTTGGACACACTCCAGTCAGAACCACCCAATCAAGTTTCTTGTAATCCTCCTCCCCTGCTCTCTAGACAATTAAGTTTATATCAGTGGCAGTTAGCCTTTGCCCAGAAAAGTTCCACAGCAGGCTGACTGATTTTTCCCATACTTTTCACCAGAGCAAATGACTGAAAACCTAACAGCAACCTTCTTATCAAGAAGTGCTTACAATTGAAAAAGGAAGGGATGTGGCTTTTATTTTCTCCTCCCCTCGCCCCCCCCCCGTTCAGTTCTACTTTCAGAAATTCTTGCCTGGTTGCCAGAGTATTGAAATCCTGTATGTCATCCAGGGCAAAAGTAAACAGTTCCCTGAAGAATAAACAGACAGACAACCCTCCAAATGAACAAAGCAATTAATTAATTTCACTATGCCAAGTTCATGCTCAAAATACTGGAACGACAAGATTTTGAATCAGGAAGAATTGCACAATGCCAACTTCTCCATGCGCTGCCAGGTATACTAAGTATTGTTTTGTGGACTCGTTGAAATCCCGTATGTCATCCGCGGCAAAAAGTAAACAGTTACCCGAAGAATAAACAGACAGACAACCCTCCAAATAAACAAAGCAATTAATTAATTTCACTATGCCAAGTTCATGCTCAAAATACTGGAACGACAAGATTTTGAATCAGGAAGAATTGCACAATGCCAACTTCTCCATGCGCTGCCAGGTATACTAAGTATTGTTTTGTGGACTCATTTCTTCTGCATTTTCAATTGTTGTCTTCAGTGTCTTGCCATCTTTATAAAATATATGGATACAAACCATATAGTTAATGCTGGGGGAAGGGGGGGTGCTCTCCAGTGACTGTTGGACTATAATTCCCATCAGTCCAAACCATTGGCCATGCCATTTAGGCATAAATGGGCTCAGAGTCCAGCAGAATCTGCAAGGCTATTGTATACTCTCCTCCTATGCTTCAAATAAGACCGTTGTCCAGAGCAAGCAGGAAGAGGAAGTGGCTGCTGTTTCCATCTGCTGCCCTCCCTCCCTCGGGCCTTGCTTCCCATTCCCCCATAAGACTGTTAGTAGTAGCTGCAGGCAATCCAAGTAAACAGCAGGATACAGCTGGCGTGTGACAGCCTTAAGGATAGTGACCTCCTTAGGATTGCTAAGATAGTTGGTTAAAGCCTTCTGAGAACTTGGAAAAGCTACGCAAACGCTGCTTCAATGATGCGGCCCATCTTTAAAGCAGGAAAGTGTTGCCTTGCCTTCATGCTGTGCAGCAGGAAGCAAAATTGCTAAAACACAGAACTTTGAAAATTGGGAAATAGTCATTGCAAGAAGAGTATATTTCAAATTCTCTGTCAAAGGAAAAGGGAGTGCAGCTGGTTATGACCTGGAGGAGGCTCCGAGGACCATCTATTTTGGGCATAGGGCAGACGTTAACCCTGTAACCAGAAAGCCTGAAAGCAGTGGTTGGTATTCGCACTACCATGCCAAAAATATGTATCAATGTGTAAGAAGGGAGCAAATGCCAAATAAGTGCTTTGTAAGGAAGGCAAAATTAGCTGAGACACCAAGCTCCGGGAGTAACAGATGAATGAGGAGGACAGATCCTAATGTCCTAAATGTGTGACTTATCCTGTCAGGGCCCAGACAACAATCATCATTCCACAATCACATACACACACAATCTTAATAGTGTTGGAGTTTTACTTACAACCTCACATGCTGTTTGTGGTTTGTGTCACTAGGAAAGACTTGGGGGGGGCTGGGGGATTGTATATAAAAAATGAGGCCGCTCTCAGTCCTTCCACTTCACAGGTGCATTTGATGGCGATACAGGAGAGAGCCTTCTCTGTTGCTGCTCCTAGACTTTGGAACTCCCTCCCACCGGAGACCAGGCTGGCCCCATCATTGCTGTCCTTCCTCCAGCAGACAAAGAGCTTTCTCTTCAGGAAAGCCTTTCCTCAGTGACTGGCTGCCTGAGTGGGGTTTTTAAAATGGCCTCACTGCTTTGAATGGGTTTTTGGTGTTGCTTTGGACAGTTGGGCCTTACTGCTTTGAATGGGTTTTTGGTGTTACTGTACTTTTGATTACCATTTTCTTCTGTGGTATTTGTGTAATCTTTTTTAGCAGTTGAATCCTTACTGTTTTTAGCTTTCAATGTTGTCTTTCTGTGGTGTTTGTAGAATCTTTTTTAGTACTGTATTTGAATTCTTACTGTTTTTAACTTTCAGTATTGTCTTTTAAACATGTAAGCTGCCTTGGATCCTTTTAAGGAGAGAGGAGGGGTAAAAGAATTTTAAATAAACAATAAATAAATATTTGCTATCCTTCTACAGGCCAGAAAGACTGTTGGGTCCCGCTAATCGAGCACCCAATCACCTGCCCGGACGTCAGAAGCCCAATTAAGATCAGACGAGAGGAGATCATTTCCAGTTCCTCTATTTAGCTAAGCAAAGCAATGGGGCAGACAAACCTCTGCACGCAGGCACGGAGTGTCGCCCCCACCTTTCATTTCCAGAGATGCTTATACCTTTCAGCACTTTGCAGTCCACCACCCTCTCCTTCCTTTCTGGTTCAGCTACAATACAGATGATGATCGCATGTGCTCTTCTGTGGTTGGAACATCTTTCTCACCCACATCCTGCTTTGCAGTAAACATTTTGCAGCATATACCGTATTTTTCCTTAATGCACAGAAGCAAGATGTCGTGAGTTAGGATAAGTCCCTACCTGTGGGCCTAGGCTTAAAGCCTGGTTACAAAAGCTAATCAAAGCGTTTGATTATGCATAGAACCTCTTCATTTCCTCCCTTTGCTTCTAAGGGGCCTGGACATAGTCCATGGACCCGCACCCATGGGACCAGCCTACAGGACATACCTCTGGGTTATGCGACAGGCAGTACACTGAACTACCATGCATGAAATAACTATAACCACTGCCATGCATATAAACCTGAGAAACAGACTGTGCAGCCATCCGCACCCCAGAAGCCAGTCTGTCAATCAAGTCCATCACATATTATCAGCCGGAGCATATGTTTTCCACATGTCCTCTGCTATTTTATGTAATTTTCCCATGTTGATTTCAATGGCTCCACTTTTGTTGATGTAATGGCAGCATGTGGTATTCAACCAGAAGCAAAGACCTCCTTCTTTATGAAGCAGACAGTCTAGGGCCGATTTATGTTGCATGAACATCCCTGCCAGGGAGATGGTCTCCGTCTGAAGGGCCTTCATCCCGTGAGCTGTAATATATATTCTAAGGCTTCCAGTTGATACAAGCGCTGTCTAAGCTGTTGGACATTCAGGGCTACTCCCACAGCCAGCAATATAATAACACCGAATCTCTCTACGTTGGCTCGGGCATGTTGTGAGAATGGCTGATGGTCAGATTCCAAAAGATCTCCTGTATAAAGAGCGATGGCCCTTACAATCTATGACAGCTACCTCAGAGGGGAGGAGTAGGGTGGTCATGAGGCGCCCCAAGAGGGGCACCATCTTCGGAGGCTTCCCATCCGCCCCATGGAAGCCTCAAGCTTTCCAGAGAGCAGCGTGGATATCGACTCCCAGGAAGGACTAGCGGTCCCTAGGTGGGGAGTCAGGGGACAGATGAGTGATGTCTTTCTCCTGATATGAATGAGGACAAGGTGATTGCCCAGAGGGACTTCCTGAAGGGGGCAAATAGCAGCAGGACCAATCAGCCTTTATTCCTTTGGGAGACTGGGATTTTGGGATCACCCAAAATTTCTCCCTGGAGACCCTGGTGGTCTGATGGGATGGGGTCACCCCCCTGACTTCCCACGGTTGTCATTACTGGGGGTGGACTAAGGGTGGGCTCCAAGGCGGCAACCGCACCAAGGACAGGTGGTCCCACGGGAGGGGGATCAATGGCAAAAGGGGGGCCATGGGGATGTAAGGCAGCGGGTAATCATCGTCTTCCTCCACTGTTTGGATTTTGACTGGAATGGGAGCTCGGTAGATGGGGGAAAGACTTCCGTTTTTTATTTCAACTATAAGACTCTGGGCTTTGTCCTTTGGCAAATTGGCTACCAGTCGTCCCCTGGGATGTAGTGTCACACCATACAGAACTTCATCAGTGTTAAGGACTGCTGTCATAATGAGGAAGTCTATTGTTGCTGCTGCTATTGTTAGCTATCAATATTTTTTTCCTGACCCTCCGGGGCTTTGCAGGCATAAACTACTCAGAAGTATTTATGAGGGATTTTTTTTTACTGGTTTTCAAACTTCTTCCTCTCAGATGAAAACTGCGTGTGGTTTTATGTTTGCTTCACCGCCCTTAAGAGATTTCAAACTCTTCTTTCAGTTTTTCTGTTTTCCAGCGTGGTTCAGTGAAGCAGACTAAAAATAAGTAATGTCAGAGGAGTAGCTCGACTGAACACAACCAAATGAAAATCTGTTATGTGACCACTCCTGCAACATCTAGCAAAATCAAACTTCCCTTTTTCAACAGCTGATAAG